CAATTTCTTCAATCAACACCTTCGTCTCAACTTCCCACGTCAGTACCTGGCTGCACACACTGTCATTATTCATGATCTCAGTCAATGGATCGTGGAACAAGATGAAGCAGATGAAAGAGCATTCATGCACAACTTCAAGGAATTCAACCCGGACTTAGGGCTTCACGAAGCTGACTTCAACAGAAATCGCTCCCTGAAGCTGATCTTCGAGACTGTAGCTTTGGCTACTCTGGCTACCAGAAATGGTGTTTACAGCTTTGGTATCCACATTCCTCCATTCCGTGTGAAGATGGAACGTTTCCACATCCTCAACCAGTGCCTCCGGTGTTACGAATACACCCACTCCACCAGCAAATGTAACCAGTGTATTCAGAAGGGCAGCCTCTGCTACCATTATTCTATCTGCACGTCGGAAACACTATACTGTTTGCTTTGCAAAGGCGATCATCCTGCAATCTCCATTCGTTGTCCTCATAGACAAGAAGTCATCAAAAACATGGAGAAAACCACATCTTCTACCGGAGCCAGTACCTCTGAAGCAACCAACCAATCAGCGACCACCTCAACTTCAGGTTTCAACGCCCAAGCCGCCATTTTCCCGGAGATTCCGGAAGGGCGACCCATTGCTACTGCTACTGCTACTACCAGACCAGCCAATGGGAGACCAGCTCCCAACCAACCAGCCACACTTCGAGCCAGCCACTGCCACCTCCACCCCATCCCGACCAATCACTGTGTAGCACAGTAAAAGCTTTGATATCGACAGCCAGAATGACTGCTTGCATTAACCCGCGAGAATTTGTGAGAATCCTGAAAATTCTTTTCAAAGCGAACGGTCTCCCTACCTTCAATGTTCCTGATGAAGACTACAATGCTCCAGGTTCAACTCCAGCAACTGGCCCTGTAGAGGATGCTGACTCTTCATCCGACGACGATTCTGCCACTTCAATGCAGACTTCAGATCCCGTTCTAGTACCTTCAGCTCGCAAGACTCTGCCTAAGACCCCCCCCACTTCTACTACAGTTCCAGTTGCTAAGCATGACATCACTGTGAATGCGGCCACGCTTTCAGACTTACTGTCAGCTCCTGCTCCACACATTTCTCCAGCTGTTGCTGACCTATCACCTGTCCTAGTGGTGAATTCAGCTGCAACAGACCCTTGGCGTGACCCTGTAGAGGGTCTATACTATGAAGTCTATTCTGCTGCTACTCAACCTTGAAGAACTCTACCTTCGCGATCTACCACCTCTGCTCTTCACTCATCTGATAAATTGGATGAGGACATGTCTGTTGGAACACCATCTCCTCCTTAATGGAAATGTCACTACTCGGCTGTCGATTTCCTTCATGACACCGCACCAACAACCCCCAACAATAGCACCACAAGGCCAGCACCAAGTCAGACCACCAAGTCAGATCACCAATACCGACAAGCCCAAGAAGAAGACCAAAGATCAGAGTTTGCTGAAATCGTCAACAAAAAAGAAGACCACTAACAAAATGATTTAACATCAACATCTGAAATCAACCCTCAACTGCCAGCTGCTTGTGATCCCAGCCCCTGTGTGCTCTGCAAATGAAGCCCCACTCAATCCTACTCCACTCTACTCAAGTTCAAATCTGCAGTGGTTGGGCCACCGATCTTTCATCTCCCCTCTTCACCTCGTCTCCAGTGCCTCGCTCAAGATTTCTGCAACCTCGCCCTATTCTTCAAACCCCTACTTGCACACTCTTTGGACATTTTCGCTTCGCTTGCACTCCTGTTGGTAATTCTATCGCAGACACATTGACACCAAAATGAAAGACTTAGGACGAGAATTGAGGTGACCAAAGTGAAAAGAGTGTACACATTTTATCACTCTTGGGCGCTCCCGGGTAACTCGCTCTCACTTTCTCTGTCTGCTCCGGGTAGTAAACCAGGCTTTTGGAGTTTATATGCATTTACTCCTCTAGTGAATTCTATTGCGAACACATTGATACCAAATTGTCCTAGTGGTATGCAGGCAAAACGTAAGAGAGAGAGAGAGAGAGTACCACAGAGAAGTCATCACTGCCTGATATTAAAATGGTAAAATGCAAGGGGACTCCTCTTCCACACAGTAACACCTCTCCTTCCCCCCCCCCCTCCTCACTTTCTTCCATACTCCAACAAGGGTCATCAATAAAGGTAAGCTATAATTTGTACATACAACAGTATAGTACAAAATGTGTGTGTTTATTATGTATGAAATGTATTTTAAAGTTAATATTTTTGGGAATGTTGAATGGATTAATTCAATTTACATTATTCCTTATGGGAAAGTTTGTTTCGAGTTATGACCCATCTCTCGGAACGGATTAAATTTGTAAACGAAGGTACCACTGTATCTCGGGGTGGGGAGGTATTGTTTCTTGATGTCATTTCAACACACACTGACCTTCAATTTTCACATATTCGAGTATGAATGCCAAGTAATGTTTATTAACACTATCGTGCATGGCGCGTGAGCGCCGCGGACTTTGACGTCATGGAGCGGATACGAGTATACACCTAAATGTGTATACTCGTTTCAGTTTTCTCACCTTAATTCTCGTACTACGTCGTTCGTTTTGGTATCATTGTGTTCGCAATTAAATTCCCTGCAGGTGTATATGCATATAATGTCCAAAAGCCTGGCGAGACTCCCCGCAGTAAAGCCTGAAGTTACCCGTGAATGAGCACCAATTTGCACACCACAACCTAAAGTGTATACTCGTTCAGTTTGATAACATCAATTTTCATGTTACATCGCTTGTTTTGGTATCAAATTGTTCGCAATATAAAGGTGCGCATTTTAAAACTAGTCTCATAATAATAGAGCAATAACTGGAATTTTAACAAATATTTTAATTTTGGATGCTCATCATCACAATTATTTACTGGTATATCTTTCCAGTGTTCTGACATCAATTTTCGTGTTACGTCGCTCATTTTGGTATCAAATTGTTTTAAACTAGAGGCGCACATTTTAAAACTAGTCCCATAATAATAGCACAATAAATAGAATTTTAACAAATATTTTAATATTTAAAATTTAGACCCAAAAATATATTTATAATCTTTCAAGTGTTTTGACATCAAGTTTCGTGTTACATCTTTTATTTTGGTATCAAATTGTGCGCATTCTAAAGGCACTTATTTTGCAACTATCCCGAGGTCGATTGGATAAAAAATGAATTTTACAAATATTTTTGGAGTGGACGCAAGTCCTGTCCACGGCTAGGACTCAAAAGAAAAAAAGTCGACCTGATTGGTGTCCAAAGCAAGCGATACTGTTAAAACTTACAACGAAATCCAAAATGTAGAACGACCATATTCATTGTGCGAACTATACTTCAATTTTCTCTAAAAACAATATTTTCAACTTTGAGACCCTACAAATAATGAAATTTTCTGTTCGATTCTCGCCATTTACACATATTGTATGCAAAGTTATTCGTTCTAAATGTGGTGGTGTATATTTATTCATAAACCCCATAACTTTTATAAAATTTACCATTTAAATTTGCTGCATATTTGGGGTTATATTGAGGTTATCTTGATATGATTTCGGGGCTTAGCGTACCCGCGGCCCGGTCCTCGACCAGACCTCCTTTTTGTTACACATCCCCCAGGAAGCAGCCCGTAGCAACTGTAACTCCCAGGTACCTATTTACTGCTAGGTAACAGAGGCATCAGGGTGAAGGAAACTTTTTGCCCATTTGTCTCCGCCCCCACCGGGAATCAAACCCGGAACCTCAGGACTATGAATCCGAATCCGAGTCAGTGGCGCCTGACAGCTGTCCACTCAGCTGTCAGGCTGGCGCCACTGGGTCCACATTGGGTCCACTGGGGTCCACATTGACAATTTTGTTTACAGTAAACTATTCTCCCAAACTTAAATAAAACACTGCCAAATTGATCATCATATGTCATTCTTAGACCATAATGAATACAAGACAAATTGCTGAAATTTTAATATTTTTTGCGAGAATTTTCAAATTGAAAATTTTCAAATTAAAATTTGTATATTTTTATTTTATTTGTTTTTGATGTCATGATGCTGATCCATTAGGAACAGTTGGTGCATTTACAATGTAGATTATGGAAAAAAATATTAAGAGAGTTTGAGCAAGTTTGAGATTTTTGGATTCAGACCCCTTAGGACAGCACTGGCTGGGAGTGCTCCTGGGCCACCTAGTGTTCAGTGTACTACACCTAGCAACTGGGCCACCTAGTGTCCAGTGTACTACACCTAGCTCCTGGGCCACCTAGTGTCCAGTGTACTACACCTAGCTCCTGGGCCACCTAGTGTCCAGTGTACTACACCTAGCTCCTGGGCCACCTAGTGTCCAGTGTACTACACCTAGCAACTGGGCCACCTAGTCTCCAGTGTACTACACCTAACTCCTGGGCCACCTAGTGTCCAGTGTACTACACCTAGCTCCTGGGTCACCTAGTCTCCAGTGTACTTCACCTAGCTCCTGGGCCACCTAGTGTCCAGTGTACTTCACCTAGCTCCTGGGCCACCTAGTGTCCAGTGTACTTCACCTAGCTCCTGGGCCACCTAGTGTCTAGTGTACTACACCTAGCTCCTGGGCCACCTAGTGTCCAGTGTACTACACCTAGCTCCTGGGGCACCTAGTGTCCAGTGTACTACATCTTTGTACAGTATCAAACCCTATGAGTTGGACTATGTTTGAAGATAAGTCAATATATTGTTGTAAATATATCTGCAAAGATGAATTTCAGATTTCAAGTAAATTTCAAAATAAATCTTTAGTCCCAAAAGCTGCAGATTAACATCATCTTCCTCTACTAATTTCATATGGTTAATCAAATAATCAAAATATTTGAACAGTAATGGGTTTCACATATAGAAAGCATTAACAATACTGAGACATTGATTAAGATATTACATTATTTTTTATATATATACAAAACAGTCCCTTTTTAACTCCTATTCATATCAATAACATTTAATAACATTTCGTGTCTTACCTTTTTACCTGAAACAGACTCATCGGCTGATCTAGCTCTGGGCCGAACAGCCCGGAGTGTGTTAGTGGGGGAGGCCTGCGCAGAATGTGAGCCCTGGACTGGTCGAGTAGGACTGCTGGTGGGGCTGGTGGGTGGGGGTGGTGCCAGTACCCCCCCTGCTGAATACCCTGGGGAGGGCATTGCTATATGGGTCATGTGAGTTGGGGGGCTCCAAGTTCCCCTTCCACCATCATGCAGGTAGAAGGTTGGTGACCCAAAGAAGTGGACCCCTGCACAGAGCAGATCAACATGGCCGTGTGGACGTGCAGCATAGGCGTACACAGCAGCAACACGTGGTAGGGGAGACATGCACATGCACATTAGCAACATTCAAACACTTAGGCACTTATCCCCATAAAACAGCAGAGTATAAGCTAAGAAAAATTGGCAGGGCTCAATTAGATATATATACTGTATTTGTGTTTGTCTCCCAAACATGAATATGCTACCCAAAGCCTTCTCATCAACAAGTTATAATGCCCAAATTTGTCCATACTATATTTAAATCCTAGACCCATGACTATATAAGGCACCAAGGCAGGCAACAAGTATGTACAAAACAACTAATAACCTGCAAAAAGCTGTGCCTAAAATGCAGCAATAGCACTAGTGTCTTAGCAGTGTAGCATTTCCCAACTTTCTCATAATTGACAGCTCTATAACTTTTATCTAACAATGAAAGTGAGAAACAATGAATCTTCATTCAATAGCAAAATACTTTAGTTTTCTGAGAAAATATTGAAGCTGTACAATGGGATTAAACCCGCATCCCTAATCTCTGTCAGCGCACGCACTATTAACAAGATTAAGAGTGAATAACATAAGGCATGCGTGCCGAACGTAATACAAGTAACTATTTTGTTGCCATGCATATACGTACACTTACTGGTCGCCTAAGCTAAATTCCTTATGAATGCTTTCAAGCATTTTTTTCCTCCACTGGCACTCAAGAGAACTTTTTAGAAAATTATTACCAATTTAATCACGCTCTCAAAAAGGTTCCCCACTCCTGGACTTGACCATGAAGAACTGTGTTTTGTTTTCAGAGAGGGTTTTCAAACGGCTTCAATATTTTCTCATGGATATATCACATTTTTGTGATTTCCTTGTGCACTTAGTCTTCTTCTCATCATAACACTAACTTTTGTACATCAGTGTTACAAACACCATAATGCAAATTTCAGATAGCTAAAGCCAATAACTCTTGAAATAATGCACCTCTGCATGAATTGTACATCTGATGTGACTGACTGTCACTACTGACTACGAGCACACCTTTCGCCAATACACTTGATGAAGGCCCCTAGTACCAGTACTTTGAACTACTCTAAGTGGGAAGACAATGTGACCTTCAAAATATTATGACAGAGGACACCAAACCTGGAACACTCGGAAGGTTACATAATTCATGAAGCAATTTACATAAAATTATAAAACAAATTTTGGAACCCTCATAAAAATACAAATTGAATATTTTGCTATAATGATAATTATAGTGTAATTAATAGTAGAAGCAAAAACCAGCATTGAATGTAATGAAACACCATATCCTGGGCGAGCCCCAGAGGCTCCCTGGAGCTATCGGAATGATATTAGCTGTATTAATCTCGGGCTTCAGTCATATGAAGTTCTTGCCTACTGGAACCACGAGCCAGAACCTGGTTCCCTCAGAGAGACGAAGGGAATAATTGCCTATGAAAACATCACTCTTTGAGAGTACAGTATATTCATGTCTGCTATCAACTGGGGTTAGGCACCAAAAAAGGTAGGCACCACAAAACATACTCCAACTGGTAGGAAAGTGAAACCCAAGACTGAACAGAGCCCAAGAATCCCCCCCGCCCCCCAAGAAAAACAAGGCAACAGGCAAATCGTCATCAACCCGACATGCCATTCGTGCTCCCCCCCCCCCCCCTTCAGGGAGGGGAAGGCCCCCACTCCACTAACCGGCTGCTAGACCACTAGTTCGGAGATAGACTGATCAAAAGGAAAAAAAAACGCTGACCGGAGGGAGGGAGGGTATCATGGAGCCTCCAGGACATTGATGACACAATCATGGGGGGGGGGGGGCTGGTCGAAGCGACCAACGCCCCCATGTCCAGGTCCCAAAAACCAAAATGGGGCAGCCTCATACATTTGAGCGGGCAACCAACCTAACGTATTGCAACAACTTAAGTCTAGCATGCAATGCGAAAGCTGCTTGACACCTAACATCTCCCAAAGAAGAATGGGTAAATTGGATAACAAGCAGGGTAACAAGTCTCGCACGATTTTGGGTCAGTGGTGTCATCGACCCAAAAAGCAGCATGGCAAAGGCAAAACAGCTGATCGTTACCCTGAGACAAGGGCAACAAACAGCCCTCAAACACGCACTAGGCGAGATGGGACTCGCCTAGTGCGAGTCCCATCTCATCCCATCCCATCAAGGCAAGATAGTCAACCGAGCCCTGACGGGGTTTCCATGGCCCGTAGGGGGAGGTGTCCCCACAGGAAGCCCAGGCACTGATGCTGCAAATCAGGTTGAACCCCATCTGTACACCAGGGAAACTGACCCCTAAGAAGGGAGCAACCTCTGGGGCTGAGTTGAAGACTACCAAATGGAACCTAGGCGTGCCTAAATGGGAAGCCATGCAGCCTTCCACCAGGCAGGAAAGAATCTAAAAAAGAATGAAAAGAACCCAAAAGAGCTCCAAAACAACAGGAGGCCAGAGAGTATCACGGCCGCCACTTGTATGCAAGCTGGGCAGCACTGTGCACCCCAACCAGCAACTAACATTCCCTACTTAGGGCCACTTGTGTCAACCACTCTAACACTAAAAAAGTTCTGCCACATGAAAGCACCAAGACCACCGCTGACCCCAAGGGCGAGGCCGATGTCAAGCAACAGCAACCCCTAAGAGAGTGAAAACCCAAAAAAACCCAGGGAAGAAACCCCAAGGCCCAAGATATGTACTTACAGGGTGCCTAGGGAAGAGAACCCCAAGTGCATGCAGCCCGAAGTACTGGCACTCCTGGCCAACGCCCCAAAACATAGCAGGTACAACCACTAGTGGCAAAATCCTGACAAGAAATAGCAGCCAGAGTAGATATCGGCTCCAGCACACTTCAGCCGACACACACAGCCGACACAGAAGGTGGTGGAGGCCAAGACCGTCAGTAGTTTCAAAGCGTTATATGACAAAGAGTGCTGGGAAGACGGGACACCACGAGCGTAGCTCTCATCCTGTAACTACACTTAGGTAATTACACTGGCAGTCTATCGGCAGGCTCGGTGGGGGCCTCTCCCTCCTGAAGGGGAGGGGAGGGGGGGTCAGCACAAACAAGCAGCATGTCGGGTTGTTGACAACTTGCTTGTTACCTTGTATTACTTGAGGGGGAGTTCTTTGGCTCTGTTTGGTCTTGGGTTTCACTTTTCTACCAGTTGGGGTCTGTTTTGGGGCATCTACCTTGCTGGGTGCCTAACCCCAGTCGATAGCAGACATGAATATACTGTACTCTCAAAGAGTGGAGTTGTCATAGGCCTTTGGTCCATTCGCCTTACTGAGGAAACTTGGTTCTGGCTCGTGGTACCCGATAAGCAGAAGAACTTCATATGACTAAAGCCCCAGACTAATATAGCTAATATTAGTCCGATAGCTCCAGGGAGCCGACGGGGCTCCCCTCAGAAATGGAGCAAAATAAAGGAAGAAGAAAAATAAGGAGTAGGTGAAGGTAGAATGAAGAAAGGGGATAGGGGTGGAGGAGGGGAGATTAGGGGAAGGAGGAAGGGGGAGGAGGGGAGAGGAGGAAGGCAAAGGGAGAGGGAAAGGGGGAGGGCAGAGGGGAGGAGAAGGAGGAGGGGGGAAAGGGAGGAGGGGAAGGAGGGAGGGAGGAGGAAAAAGAGGAAGGAGGAGGAGGAGGAGAGAGGAGGCAGGGAGGGAGGGAGGGTGGGGGAGGGAGGGAGGAGAAGGAAGGAAGGAAGGGTCGAGGGTGGAGGAAGGAGAAAGGAGGAGGGAGAGGAGGAAGATGAGGTGGGAGGAGGAGGAGGGGAGGAGGAGGGAGGAGGTGGGAGGAGGAGGGAGGAGGTGGGAGGAGGAGGGAGGAGGTGGGAGGAGGAGGGAGGAGGTGGGAGGAGGAGGAGGTGGCAGGAGGAGGTGGGGGGAGGAGGAGGAGGAGGATACGTAATATGTACAGTGTCGGTCAATAATTCCTTTCTGTTTTGGATACATAAATTGATTTGTAACACTGTTGATTGGGTGTCCATATTTTTTTATGAATTCTGTATTTATATTCCATGGAATATGCACAGAATATGATGAGAATAATATTGGATTATAAATAAGTACTGTATTTGAATTATATTTATGAAGTAAGAATTATGTTCACTAATACGTCATGTTTACATTAATACAGTACAACCTCGATTCGACGTACCCCAATTCGGCAAATCTCCTGTTAGGTCGCAAACTTTTCAGGGAAGGATTTACTCACCCAGTTCGGCATACTCTGGTTCGCCAAAACAGGGGATGTGCGGATTTGCTTACAAAGTTGGGACAGAGTTCATAGACTGGTGGAAAACTTTCCCATTCTATCACAGGTTACAATTAATAATGCTTTCATATGACAAGTTGAATCACAGAAGTGAACAAGACGACGACACAACAATTGAACCATTTTAACCAAACACCAGCCAGGGTGGTCCACACAAGTAAACCATATTAACCAAACACCAGCCAGAGTGGTTCACACAACAATTGAACCGTATTAACCAAACACCAGCCAAAGTGATTCACACAACAATTGAACCATATTAACCAAACACCAGCTAGAGTGATCCACACAACAATTGAACCATATTAACCAAACACCAGCCAAAGTGATTCACACAACAATTGAACCATATTAACCAAACACCAGCTAGAGTGATCCACACAACAATTGAACCATATTAACCAAACACCAGCCAAAGTGATTCACACAATAAGAAAGCCATATTAACCAAACACCAGCCAGAGTGATCCACACAACAAATGAACCATATTAACCAAACACCAGCCAGAGTGATCCACACAACAAATGAACCATATTAACCAAACACCAGCCAGAGTGATCCACACAACAAATGAACCATATTAACCAAACACCAACCAAAGTGATTCACACAATAAGAAAACCATATTAACCAAACACCAGCCAGAGTGATCCACACAACAAATGAACCATATTAACCAAACACCAACCAAAGTGATTC